GGGTTGGCAAGTTGGTTCAGTGGGTAAAGACATTTCTTGCCAAGCCTGAAAATCTGAATTCAATTTCCAGACCCCATGTGCTGGAAGGAGAGAACAAGTTCCTGCAAGTTGTCCTCTGATCTCTTCATAAACAACAAGGAGAATGCATGCCCCCTCCACACACTAAACAAAAATGCAATAGAACTTAAAAGCCATAATAACAATGACTATCCATCTATCACAAGGATGAAAAACTGACAGCACCATGTCCTGGCAAGGATGTGGAAGAACTGGAGCTCTCACTTATTACTGAGAGAAATGCAAATGGGTCTGGCCATTTCAGAAAATAGTGTAGCAGTTTTACTGTATGATATATATATATATATATATATATATATATATATATATATATAACCAAAAACCAAACCAAACAAACAAAAGACAAAAATAACATTCCTAAGTAGTTACCCAAGTAAAGCAAAAACTTCGGCCCACTGAAAAAAATATGCACAAATGTTTATAGAGGCCTTATTCATTACATTACTGTATAAAAACTGGAAACAATATAAATATCTATCAATTTATGGATGGATACCAAATGGTAGCATACTCACATGATAGTGGTAGATAGAATAGATTAGATAGATAGATAGATAGATAGATAGATAGATAGATAGATAGATAGACAGACTACCACATTGTAATAAGGAGACAGAGTATACTGGCAATATATTGGCTAGTTTTTTGTTGTTGTTGTTGTTTTCACTTAACACAGCTCAAGTCACCTTGGAAGAGGTAACCTCAACTGAGAAAATGCCTTTGTAAGAAATCCTCTGGGGCATTGTTTTGATTAATGATCAATTGTGGAAGGGCCCAGACCACTGAAGACAGTACATTCCTGACCAGATGGTCCTGAGTTACATAAGGAAGCAGGCCGAGCAAGCCAGTAAGCAGCACTCCTTCATGGCCTCCACTTTGGGTTCCTGCCTTGTATTTTTGCCTTTGCTTCCCTTCGTGATGGTCTATAAGCTGTGAAGTGAAACAAACCATTTCCTGCCCTACTTGTTTTTGCTCATGATGTTTTATCACAGCAATGGAAAGCCAAACTAGGGCAGACAGCATAAATGATTCCTGAAGGCATTATTAAGCGAACGAAGCCAGATTCAAAAGACTACATTTGTATGAATCCATTAGTGTAGTGTCCTGTTAAGGGCAAATTTTTAAGGACAGAAATTAGGTCAGTAGGGACTGGAGGTAGCTGGAGGGGTTGACTACTGACATGGAGGTTTGTGGGCCAGGAAGATTTTTCTTTACTAACTGTTGACGATGGCTAAGCAACTGTTTGCATTCATCTGCTGTAGAAAACAATACAGTAAAAACTGTGAGCCTTACTGTCTTCAATCAGAACGAATGCAAATATTCAAACTATCACTCTGCTAAAGGCTTGGAGGGCAAAAATGAAAGAAGTAGTTCTGATGGGGCCATTCTAGCATTTGAGGGGTGTCCAGGATAGGATGCTGGCAACAGGACTCGGTGAGGGAAAGACGGAATCAAGGTGAGTCAATAGGATCTAATACAGCAAGCACTACTGAGCTATGTCAAAGAAACAAGATGGATGAAGGAGGGCTAGATATGGGTAATGGGGCAGTGGGGGGCAGGGATCAGGGTGAGTCACATGTTTCTGGGTGGATAGAAGAGCACTGTGCTATGGTATAGAACACTTTATAGTTCCCTTTTCACTCGGGGCCCCTCTCCTGTCATAATTCCTTCATTTCATTAGCTCTCACACATCTTTCAGGAATCACTTAGTTGTCACAAACCTGGGCCATAAGCTGTTTCTGTGTTTATATATCACCTTGTGAACATTCCTACCATAGCACATGCTGTGACGCACTGCAGCTGCCACGTCATTCAGCTGCCTCTTCGCCATGCAAACTATGTTAAGGAAATGTTGATTATTTTCCTCGAGCTTCAGTTTGGAAAAAACAAATTCTAAGCATCAACAGGACTTTCAAACTCAGTAACAGTTATAATACATTTAGCATTATATACAGAAAGGCCACATTAACATAAACAAATATGGGTACAGGATAACAATACTACCACATGCAAATGATGGTTCTTATAATGGCCTGCTGGATGCTAGTGCCGTCTGTGGAATAGGTCCTAGGAGACCTTGGCACACATCTGTACTCTTGAGGCCACTGCTGGGTGATCCCAGATTAGTTACTTTCTTTCCTACACCTGAGTCTCAACATGAGCTAAGTGAAGAAGAAACCGCTACTAAGGTGGTGAAGATGACTGGACTGACACAAGAAATGACCAGTGCCACACTTCTTACGTGGTCCTCGACGTGAATGACTTGGAGGGCACAGTCTGCATACTGAGTCCCTGCACGCAAGCTCTCGGAAGCCGAGCGCAATGCAGGTCATGGCACAGAAAGACTATGGCTGCAGAACTTCAGCTGCAGAGCCCACAAGTAGCAGCAACCTGGAGCCCGCAAACTTTCAACATGAAGAGGTGGTTTTAGCTCCTTTAGCTGCCAGATTGGTTTGTACATGATGATAAGCTAAACATCTCCCTACAAAAGCAAGCTACCTTTGAGCATGTTGGCAAGCTGAAATGGATGCCCACCTTTTGGGTAGATGTCTTTTAGAGGGACTTCTCCTGGAGGCAGGATCCTGACCACCTGGTTAGTGTGTGTGAGAGTCACACAGTTGCTGTGCCTTGGGGTAACACTTGTTTGCTTCCCGCCATAGATTCCTCTGTTGATGACACTCGGTTTTCCCAAAGACGAAGACCTCTTCCATGAATAAACCTCACTGGGTGACTTAAAAAAAAAAAAAAAAAGAAATTAGAAGAAAAAGGAGAAGCAGAGCTAAAATCACATCTATTACATTCAGCACAACACTTAGATTATTCCGTCATTTAAGCTAGTGCTGGTAAATTATGCACATTATGATTTACAGGTATGAAATTAAGATAGTCCCTATTTTTTTTTCAAGACAGGGTTTCTCTGTGTAACAGCCCTGGCTGTCCTGGACTTCCTTTGTAGACCAGGCTGGCCTCAAACTCACAGAGATCTGCCTGCCTCTGCCTCCCAAGTGCTGGGATTAAAGAAAGGCATGTGCCATCACCGCCCGGTTTCCCTAATCTTTTTAAAAAATGGCAGAGGGAATGCGTATTTTACCAATAACTGCAACTGTCTATGCAAGTACAAATTTTTTAAGATACTTTTAAAAAATTTAGATTATAACTGATAGGAAATGTAGCAATGTAGTTATTTTAAAAAATAACTATCCTATAGGTAAAGGCAGCTGTTGCCAACTCTCAGGGTGTAAGAACTGAGTCTTGCAAGTTGTCCTGTGGTGTCCACGTGCCAGAAGACCCACAGTGCATGTACACACAGGCTAGAGCGCACACATGCGCATGCATGAACACTATGTAACTGAAAAACTAAAGTCAAGGTACTAAGATCTAGGCCTCTACTTCGAAGCCCCTGGAGTGTCCTTCCTGGTCCAGATTTAGCTCCTCTGGGACTTCGTGGGGTTTCCCCCTCATTGTTTTACTTAACAGTTTTTCTTTATGCATTTATCCTTCCCAAGATTCTAAACTGTCTTTGGCCTCTGATTTCTCTAAAGGTTTTAAGGTCTTATCTTTGCGCTGAAGTCCAGAACTCGTAAAGAATTTGCTGTCACTCCCTTGTGTGGAATGGACTCATGTTTAGCCTTTTCTCATATGGACTACTTACTGACCACACACCATTGCCCACTGACGTGCCACCATGAAACATAGTCCAACTATGCACTTGGTTTGGACACTGCATTCCACTGTGCTGTGTGTTTTATATCCTGGGCCGACACATACTCTCAGCCTTGGTTAACTGCTTTTCACACTCATGCTTCGCTCTTCGTCCTTGCACTCTATGAGACTACAAGAGATGCACTCTGCAGCCTCCTTCGTACTCAGTACCAGGTACCCAGTGCTCCCTACTCACTGTTGTCAGCATTTCTATTCCAATGGCTCTGGAGTCACATCTCTTCATGGCTTCCAGTTTCTTACTAATCGATAATGACTCTGGGAATCTTTCATAAACTTACTTTCTATCTCTATATCCTCTTTGACCTAGTATATTTCATGATTTTTTTTTGCCCCTTTTTGACACTTACCATTAGTTTTATTTTTAAATTTACAAAAAAATACTGAAACTACAACATAAATACATACCATTCCAACCCAACATCTCCAGGCTGTCTTTACAGGATCTGCAATTCCCTTTCCTGATGGCGAGAAATCTATTTTCTTTGTCCTTAATAAATCAGTCAACTATTTTTGATATAGTTCATTAATCTAATAATATTTAGCTTCTTCCTCAAGTCCACAGTATGTGGCCGGTCTCCCACCTCCACCAGTACGCTCACCTCTGAGGCCAAGGCCCTGCTCTTATTTCTTGGGCGGCAGCAGCCCACAGCTAGGATGCACATACCCATGGGTACCCCCTGGCCTCACCTATACTCAGATTTTACTTTCAGGCCCTTTTCACGATAGCACTGCACTGGACTTTAACACTGACATCTTTAAGCAGAGAAAAGTGGTGAGGTCAGTGTTTAGACAGCTCCAGTTTCACAGAAAAACCCTACTGCTTTTCTACTTATGCAGTGTGAGTAGCAGAAAGCTTATCAACTTGTCTCTGTTATTCTCTATTATTACTCAAGGCTGCTGTAGACACACATTGCAGCAACACACGGAAGTCTGAATTACACAATGTGGGAGCAAAGGCTTTTTACTCGACAATTAGTAAAGCATATGGCAAACTCCTAAGCTACATACTATCTGCTCAGTTTTGGATTTCAAATGCCTTACATTCTTAGGTACTCTTCTTAACTGAACTAAAACTTTGAAGCACGTGAGATTGGGGCATCAAGGAGAACCCATACCTACCTATCTATCTATCTATCTATCTATCTATCTATCTATCTATCTATCTATATCTTTAACTGATTCTATCAGCTCAACTTGGAGCCACAAAGGGAATTATTTAAATTAAATGTTTACTCACAACACAAAGCTACAGTTTAGACTATCTTATTGCAACTTGTCCTGGAATACTCTTTCCTTTTCATGCCCTACATCTACACCAGGGGAAGATGGGGCCTACTTTTAAAGACAATTAAAAATCAATTTAAACAGAAATTCTAGAAGCCACAGTACTTGGATCAGTCTCAACTTGTTCCTCTTGTCAGAGTTCATGAGCACACATTAAGATGGTGTGATAAGAAACTCCCTATGTTAAGCACTGTGTTACGTGAACTCCCAGATGTGGACAACCATTTCCCTTACTAGATTATATAACGTCACAGTTTAAATGCTATTTTTAAAGTAAATGAAGCGATAAAAGTCGAACAAGGTTTTGGTGACTGACTTCAAATGTAGACTTGACTGAAACTGTTTACCAGAACATTACTTTCGGTTACCCTTCAGATAGGCTGAAAAACACTAGGCTTCACTGAGAAGAAATGTTCAGGCAAGGAATTTCACAAGCTGGTGTTTACCATGAGATCCGGGAAGCCAACAACTATGGTGGCATGGTTTTTTTCATCTGAGAGAATACGATTTGGAGAGGCAATCTTCTGGCCCAAAGCAGAAGTCAGGTTTTCAGATGACAGCTGGTCACTTGAAACTTTGTGAGGTATGCACAACTCTGTTTCTGAAAAACGTCAGATATACTTTAGACATGATAAAATCCTAATACACTCTAGAAATTATTATCATGGTTATTCTTTTTTCCAATATTTCATTCTCAACAGCTCAAAGAACAATGGACAAAGTTTAAAAAAAAATACTTTAAACTACACCCACCAACTTTTGTCCAAAAAATGGTTTTAATCATCAGAGCATCTTCCCAACATGATTCTAAGCATTTATGCAACCCAACACTTGCCAGCAGGAGCTATCCTCCTGCATCCAGAGCTCCCTGCACCAAGGCTGTGACACCGACCCAACCCAGGCTTGGCAGACTGTGATTAATGGGAAGATGGCAGCTCATTGGGGAAAATATGCTAACCCAGGCTAGACATGGGACCTAACTACAGTAAGTAGAAAACAAACAAACAAACAATTTAGCAGTTACACAAATCTCACACAGAGCTTCACAGTGTGGCTTCCTGATGGAGGTTTGAAAGTGAGAGAGTCTGATTTCCTACTTCTGGCACGGTGTCTAAGCGGTTTTGTTTGGTGTTAGCTATCACACAGATGGATGCTCCTGCCCTGTCAGTCTGGAGGACTGTCTCTGTCTGATCTCTTACAATATGCACCCCCGCAGCACAGGCACCACAGCAGCTACCTCGTGTGACCCCAAATCCTGTGCTAGGCAACTCTTCTTGCAACTTATACAGCTGGCAAGCCCCAGTGTCTTCAGTGAGGGCGGGCTTAGTCAAGATGTACTTCCTGTGAACAAACAAGATGCCTAGCTGAATTAAATTTAATTTATGTTAAAAGTTTTCTAACAATCATTAAGACATATTGAGGAAAATTAGCTTTTTTTTCTCTCAAAATCTTTAAAAAAAAGGCATGAGCATAATTTGTACCTTAAATATTTCATCCAAAATTATCAAAAATATTTTCAATAATACTATAAAGAGGAATACCAAATGCTTATATAGTAAATACACATTTTAAAAAAATCACATTTCCTAGTCCAGGCACATCCAGCCATGATAAGGTGCAGCCTTACTACCATGGAACCCCCTCTGTTTTGGTTCTTGTGGTGTTGGGTATTGGTAACATTATTAGCTCAGGCTGACCATGAACCCCTTATTTTCCTGTCTCCATATCCTGAGTGCTAGGACTTCAGGTATGCAATGATATGCCCAGAAACAGAGCTCCCTCTGGATATGAGTCTTGGATCGGGTGGCTAATAGGGGTATGACCTTGGATTTGTGACCAACTGAGAAACAGAAGTGCTTGTGTAATTACTGGAGTTTTTATTTGCTTTTAAGATTTCTAAAACATAGATCTATCAGTATCCAGAAACTGTTTTCTGGAAGCCACTTTGCTTATCAGCAGAAAGAGACTGCATTTGGCTAGTGAATGTAGCACATAAAAGAACGTGAAATTTACCATGCAGCCTTTATAAGGCAGGCGCCGAATACTACCTTCCATAGGAAGTGTGTAGCCAAGAAGCAGACAGCACCATAACTATACCCAGTAAGTACACAAGATGAAAAGAAAGCATGTCCCAGGGTGTGGGTCCTGTGACAAAATGGCAACATCTCCAGGATGGTGGTTTCACTTCTCAGAAGAGAGGATGAACTGAAAGTGTGACTCTGGTAAGAACAGACTGAACGCTCAAGGTGTTGCTCTGAAAACCCCAAACACAAGTGGGTCATTCATAAAAGCCATCTTTTTTATTGTTAATTTCCATGTCACACTCTGAGAAGAAACACAGAATATGCTTTAACTTTTTCCTCACTGTGTTCTTCTACCCTCATTCAGAGAGGCTGACAAAAGAAACCTAAAAGATAAGGGAGACCAACAGTAACTGAGGCTGGTCTTCTGCATACTGCATGAGCTAGTACACAATATAGGTTTACCCACTGATTTGTTTTGTTCTCCACGAGAAGCCATCTGTCCTCTGCTACAAGGAAAACACTGTTGAGGTTGATGGGAAGTGAGATGGTGTGAGTTAGTCCTTCTAAGACATCCAGGACAGTCAAACTATTCCTGAAAAAGAAAATTATATCTGAGAGGAAATGATGAGGATAATGGATAAGTAGTTGTGGTGTAATCATGTTAAGATATAATACACAACCCTAAGATGAACATATTTTGAACTAAGCAATAATAAAGGAACATGCTAGTTTAGAAAACCAATGTATAAAATTCTCAATATGTATGAGGTAGGCATGAGACAAACAGCAAGGGACACCTGCCATGTAGCAGGGGCTGCTACATAATCACACATCATTTCTTATACCTGTTTCTCAGCACTCTATGATTTTCAAAGGGTTATTTTTAGAATAAGATATTATTATTTGGTTTGTTACATTTATACTAAACAAGTGTAATTACAGCAGGTAACAGAATGAACAAAATAAGAATCCCAGTTTAAAATCTTCTATAGTAAATCTCCTATAGCTTACCCTGTTTCTTTGTAGAATACTACCCAGTTCTTGTGTGAAAATTCTTTACACATTCTGTAAGGTTCCTAAAGAAAAAAAAATGAAACAAACACATCAGTGATCTCTTATGTAACACATGCAACTTGCAGAGAAGGCATTTATCCATGCCAAGACTTTCAGGAGATGGTAGATTAAACTATATTTTAAAATATACCATGTTATATATGGAAGCTCTTTAGGTAATTTTGGGGTTTTGTTCTGAGTACGGAGGCTTGGACTCAGGGCCTTGTGCTTGGTAGGCAAACAGTCTATCACTAAGCTACTAAAACCTCTTTAGAACAATTTTTAAATAGTGCCAAACGAGGCTGGAGAGATGGCTCAGCAGTAAGCACACCTGCACTCTTACAGAGGGCTTGGTTCAGTTCCCACCACCTACATGTTTGTTCACAACCATCTACACCTCCCATTCTTTGGGCTCCCACACCCTCTTCTGGCCTCTGCACCAGGCACTCACATAGTACAGACATGCATGCAGGCAAAACACCCAACATATAAAAATAAATCTTTCAAAAAGTGCCAAATGCTGATTAAAAATAAATATGCTAATTATCGGTTAATTGTGGAATTTATATCATAATATAAGTATACAGGAAGTACTTTGTTTCTTAGCTCTTAATTCAATTATGACAGTTAAAAATACTTCTTCAGTCTTTTATGAACTATGTATGCTAATTTGCAAAGCCCTGGATAAACTTTACTTTATATCTAAATGGCAGAAAAATATTTCCTGAGTTAGGCTACATGGTTTAATTCAGTTAATAAATTGAAACATTGATCTAATAGAGGCAAATCAGTTGCTGCACTTAAAGATTTTAACATATAAATCCGAAATGTAACTATGTGATTAGAAAATAATGAAGCTGACCGCATAATAAGGATTTGCTATGACTATCACACTCAAATAGCTCTAATGTTCCTTAATCATTCAGTCCTGGCAATCTTCATGTTAATATGCTGGCTACTAAAGGGACCTCCTGATATTTAACTGTACATCTAGCTATATAGACTTAACATGTTAAAATCTAAAATTGCGTAATAACTTTTGTGCCTTATAGTTTCTGTTGTTGTTTGGCGCTGGGAAGAATACACAGGCATTCATCTTTGCAGTTGGGAAAATCCCTGGCAGTCAATTTGCCAGGCAAATTTGTTATGCCTTACACCTTCCTCCTTGGTCCACCAGGAAGATTTCTTAGATGTAAACTCTTCTATGGGAAGGATGAGACGGCGAATGGCACGGCCAGTGGTGTCTATCAAGAGGATAGTGTTACTCTGGAAATACAGAAAACAGTGTGAGAGTCAAGACATGTTCCACTCTCCTACCCCCCGCCCCCGCCATAAAAAGCACAGCGCCTAGGAACGGAAGAATGAAGGTTACTGTGATACACTAAAGGGAAGACAATGATGCTAAAATGGGAGGTATCACGAGGCAACTCAGTGATGTTAATACACAGTATAAAATTTTGGTTAATTTACTAAAGATTTTCTAATTTGGTAATTATGTCATCTTCTCTTTGAAGAGTGTCCTAAAATCAAAGGTAGCTGCTCTGCAGTTCTGTTTATTTTATAGTCTGAAGTCAGAAGGGAGTTAAGATTGCACTTGGGGCTGGAGAGATGGCTCAGCATTAGAAGCCTGGCTGAAGTTCAAACCCTGGGTTTGATTTCCAGCACTCACTTTGTGGTGCACACTGCCTGCAGCTCCAGTTACAGGGGTCCAACACCCACACCTGGCCTCCATGAGTACCAGGCATACACACAGCACACAAACTTCATGCAGGATTGTCCGTGCACACATGTGCGTGTACATACACACACACACAAATTTTAAAACCAAACTAAACCACCACCACCAAAACCAACAGCATACCTCCCCCAGCTTTGATTAACATTGGACTGGCCTGAAATGCTTTTCTGTGGTGAAGCCAAGGATGTGCATCATCTGAGTGGCGATCCTTAGCAAGAACTCAGGTTGTAGGGAAGGGCACTGTAGAGCTACATCTCTGCCCCTGCCACTCATGAACTTCCACTATTGTTATTACAATAACATGCAAGCAAGGTTTCTGTAGCATCACTAAGAGCTGGGCAACAGAGGGACCAGCAGTCAGGGAGTTCCCTGGTGGACAGATAGGGAAAAGAGGCTCTAAGAAGACTCATGTACTCTCCACTTAAACATTTAAGATGCCCAACTTCTGGGTTCTTCTCCTTCTGTATGGCAAAGCCTTGATGGGCTTTTTTCTCCCCTCTGAAGGGAACTATTAGGAGTGAGGAACTTGCAAATCTTGCACTGGAGGCCCCTATTGTAGAACCTATAAGCTTACATATCTTTCTTTGTATTATCCAGTTTTACCTGTGATCACCCAAGCAGTTAATTCTAAAGGAGAGCGGGAGCTCATCCCACACATACTCAGTCCCCTGCACATCTAAGTAGACTTGGACACATCCTCACGACCCCTCACCACCCTGGGGAGCAGGCCCTGTCCTTTTACATGCTTTGCTCTGTGTGCACACAGAGCATGTCGTGGCTTCCAGTAAAACTTGCCCAAGTGCTGAGACCCTACTTTTCTTACCCTTTACTCTGAATTAGAGGGTGGGGGACGGGATTCCTGGAACCCATCCTAACGGCATCACAATGAAGCAGCAATCTCTCACTAATTATTTTTTTCAAGAAAAGAAATCAACCCTAAGTATTGAACTTATGAACTGGGCACATAAAATAAGGATTTAAAATTGAGAAAGCTAGAAAGGATTAAATATTTTCAAGAACTACAAAAAGCTGTTTTTTTCTAGTTAAAATATAAAAGCAAGCCTGAGTAAAAAGGACATCTACAAGTTAGGCCTCTTTGTTTCATAACAGTGCAGTTTTATTGTTTTAATTATGGTCTAGTTGTCCTCGTCCTCGAAAGTTCTTAGAAAAAGGCACCAAGCACCCAACGACAACAGACACCATAAAAGATGCAGAAATAATGAAATATGGTATGTTTGCTCCATTACTCCACAGTATCAGTTAGATGGTCTATATTTAAAGCAAAGGAGAATACAATTCTGATTTGGTTATGGCTTCTGTCCTCTACAATGCAGTCTAGTCAGAGAAATTTAAAATAACAGAAAAATGTATTTAGATAATTTAATTAAAGCACCCCAGAGGTAAAACAAAAATTTCACCTCAGAGCTTCCTGCACACCACATAGTGGTTTTTTGTCGCGTTATTATTCTTTAGTAAACATGCTGATAAAAATCTAACCACTTCACAAATAACACCTCTGAATAAAACTTCCTGAAAAGAAAGTGTCTGGCTGTGAACATAAACCTCCTGGAAAGAGTCTGTGTCTGCAGAGACTTATGGAATGATTGGAATTGTGGAGAGATTGGAATTTTACAGGTTCAGAGGCTAATTTATCTTGGGCTAGTTTTAGCTTCTGGAATAGCCATTCCCTGCCCCATTCTGTCTCTAGACTAACATCTCGTAACAATTAATAAAAATCTCTTAGAAGCTATGAACTTAGCAGAACACTAGCTTCCACCATCCAAGAGCTACGAGTATCATCAGGTAGCACCTTGCTGTCCCTGTTTCCCTGGTGCACCCACCAATGCTTTTCAAACATGTCTTGATTTATGACTTTCTTTGTTCTGTAAAACTATAAAAATGTCACGAAACTGCTTCCATGTTGGAACATGGAATCTTGGAAAAACCACATCTGTGTTCCCAAGTCACAGTCACCCATAATGCCTCCAGAATAAACTTGCTTATTCTCTTTAAGATGGGAGCTATAGTTTTACCTTGACATAGCCTAAAATCACATCATTTTCCAATTCTGTGTTAAGAATATATGTTCAGTATCTTCTTTAGAAAAACATCTAGCACAAGAAGTTTTGTTTACTGATATTTGAATGTTTTGAAGATGGTGGTGAGAGCAAAGAGCTTTTCCTTCTGTAAAAGTGAAAGCCTGAGGAGACAGGTCTGTGGGAAAAGTGCTTGGTCAACAGGCACAAGGAGCTAGAGTCTGGATTCGCCAGGCAATCTAGTCAGCTAGACCTGATGAACATGTTTGGATCAAGTGAGAGACCCTACCTCAATATAAATACATTCAACTGTCATAAATCCTCAGCTCCTAAGTAATCTGTGATTAAAGGAAGTCCTAAGATAGTGCTCTCCCCTAAAAAATGGAGAATAAACAGATGATTACACAGATAATTCAGTGTAGTCCTCATTTATCTTCCTTTTCTAGGTTCTAAAACGTGTATTCTCCTAACTGGGCCTACGTGACCTGAGCAGCATTCCACTAAGTCTCACACACACGCACACATGGTACACTGCCCTATGGGCTGAGACTGGGCTCTCCTGACCCTTGGCAGCGGGAAGGAGCTCTGTGGCTCCATCCTTTTAGATGTTAATGGGTTCCTTCTGTAAATGACTAATGATATATTCTGCCTGTGCTTAAAAATAGAATCTCACGTCACACATGAGTACAAGAAACTGTGGCTTTGGCACTGCCTGGGGTGGGGGCAGGGTGGAGAAGCAACCGAGCCATTTTATTATGCTTGTATCTGACTGGGAGAAGAGTAACCTCTGGATGACCTCTACGCCCCAAGTCTGAAACACTAAATGCTGTGCAGATGTAATAAATAAGCCCATGAGAACAAGGGGCTGTGGGGGGGTGGGGCTTTATTTTTAGTTTTCCTGTCCTCACTTAAGATTTTATTTTAGCAAGGAATTTTTGAACAACTTTCCAACTAACCAGGAGGATACATCTACCACAAAACTTTATTTTAAAATGATAAGGGACAGATTTATTTGTGGCTGCACTCTGTCCCTTTCAACTTTGTCTTCAGTTCTACCAGAACCAGGAAGAAGGAAGAAAGGGCAGCCCACATGTTTATACCACTTGTTAAATTGCAGAGCTTTGCAGTGCTGGTAATGAATCCACAGGTCTATCACCCTGACTGCCCCAGCTTTTTTCTTTTCTTTTATATTTTTTAAGACAGGTTTTCTCTGTGTAGTCCTGGCTGGCTGTTCTGGAACTTACTCTGTAGACTAGGCTGTCCTCACACTCAGAGATCTGCCTGCCCTTGCCTCCAGCATGCTGGAATTAAAGGCATGTGTCACTATCGCCTGGCCTGACTGACTCTTCTATAAGAGTCAGCTGGACTAATCTCTGTGAGGAGGGGAGGAGGGCAGCTTGAGGAAGCATATGGACACTGCAAATGTCTGCTCAGGATGCAAAAGTCAGGTGGGATCTGAGAATGCCTAGCTGTGAGGCACAGGAATGAATCTCAGCTCTACAATGAAGACCTCATTTCCTCAACGAAAGTCATTGTCACTGAACAGAGAATTAGTTTACAATGTTGCCAAACAATTGGCTCTTTTGAGAAATAAAACATGCGCTTAGTATCCAAATACTCTAATAGTTTTACAGAATTTGTATGTGTAAATTTCTGTTAATGTGACAAGCTGAAAATCTGGTGGGACTGTTTGAATAAATACTTCTAATTTTGAGTCTCACCCAAATTTGATTAGCTTATTAAATTCAAATCCACCCTGACAGGTGATTCTTATGATGGATTCTTCAGGTTGTAAATACAAGATCAATGGCAGCATTGATATTTTATAGGAAATCTACAAAGTAAGAGCCTCATTCTAATTTGCTGGAGAGAAACTTATGTAAACATCTGGTTTGGGATGAACTGTGCTTCCAGTAGACAGTAGCGGAACCAAAGCCTGAAAACTAAGTGCGACAAAAACAGGATTTAGAATTGTTTCAGTAAGGGCTCGTGTTGACGTCTTCAGTGGACCACGGACATGTTATTTAACATTCCTCTTGATTAGATATACTATAGAAGTACTGTTTCTACATGTATATAGGGCACATGTATGTGTGTAAGTGTTCGTGCACATGTGTGAAGGTAGGGATGTGTGTGTGAGAGGGTGGGGGAGGTTGATGTTGGATGTTCTCTCTTATTTCTCTCCACCTTAATTTTTGAGGTAGAGTCTCTCACTGACGTCAAGCTCATCAATCTGACTTACTACACCGGCTGGCCAGCAAGCTTCAGCGATCCTTCCTTATCCTGGTCAGTGCTGGGATTACAGACATACACAGTTCTATAACTTGGGTTATTTTGTTTCTTTGTTTGTTTTTAGGCAGGGTCTTACTATGTAGCTCGGGCTGTCCTGGAACTTTTTATGTAGACCAGGGTGGTCTCAAACTCAGAGATGCACTTCCTCTGCCCCTGGAATGCTGGGATTAAAGGTGTGTGCCACTATGCCTTCACACTTATGCAACAAACACTTCATTGACTGAGCCATCTTCCCAGCCCTGAATGCATTGTTTCTTTGGAGCAGGTTCTTTAAGCACAGTTACTGGCACTGCATTTTGTTAACATTTTCTGTTCTGAATTCTTTTAAAACTACATTCATTTAGTGTGTGCACACTGGGTACGTATGCACGCACATACGGTGTGCCACGACACGTGTGTACGGACGTCAGAGAGAGGACAATCTGTAGGAATTGTTTCTCCCTTTCTACTATGTGGGTCCTAAGGATAAAACTCAGGTCACCAAGCCTGGCAGCAAGGATCTTTATCCACCGAGCCATCTTGCTAGCCATGTCATGAATTATTTAGACTTTTCAGCTTCTAATACTCTTTTCTCCAAACAGTAGCAGTGAGGGCTAAAGCAAAGTGCTTGTCTAGTGTGCCAAAGGCACTGGTCATAAGAAAACTTGTAAGTGTAGTTGAGTGAGTGGGTGAAGTTTAATTCTGCTAGGGTTGATCCAATTTGGTTGGGTATCAGTCCTATTATATGTTTATTGGTAAGAATAAACTCTCAAAGTCTGGTTTTGTTCAACACAAATACAGTGAACAGAAACCCACTGGGCAGCTTGAAGAACAGTGTAAGATGGCAGGTGCGATGGCTCCTCCTCTGGACGGGATGAACATTTGCCTTACAGGATGCCTTACTGTCTTTTAGTACCCTGCTTCACCAGCCACCTGTCTCAGTTCCTGCTGGTGATGCGTTCTCATCTCTACAATATCTTAGTATTTCAGTCTCCCAGGGTCTCTACAGACATTCAGTTCCTTGGTGGCCTTGTCCAGTCTTCTGACTTTAAATAACATGCCAATATTCCAATGGCTTGCCAGTTCAGATCTCCTGTCCTCACCACTTCACTGAACTCTATGCTCATTTCTGCCTGGTTGCTTAACTCACACTTCAAGTTTAGTATTTTCCAAGGTTCCCGTCCTCATCTTAGTTGATGGGAACTCTATCCAGATTGCTAACCCCCTAAATTTTGGCATTGCCTGCTGTAACTTCCTTTTACCCCATATGTCTGCTCTGTTGGGAAGTCCTGTAGCCTTTTCTTTCAAAATTCATCTAGGATCTAGGATCACTTATGACCTTCATCATCCTCCAAGTCACCAGTATCTTTGGATGGCTCACTGCAAGAAGCTCTTAACTGGCTCTTTCATTCTGCCCCATCACTCACAGATAACACAGAGCAACCAAAGAAGTCCCTTTCTACCATGGCAGATCACATCCCCACTCACCCTCTCCAATGCCTCCCCTTTATTCTTAGGGCTCAGAACCTTCCATTGCCTACAAGGCTCTAAGCAATCTGCTACCCACTGACTCCTCTACCTTTCCTTTGCTCCCACTCACTGGATGAATAACCTTTCTACTTCACCTCTTCCCACTCTCACCCTCATTCAATCTTTAAAGGGACGAGATAGCTGTTTGCAGTGGCGTACACCTGTAATCCCAGCACTTGAGGAGGCAGAGGCAGGTGGATCTCTGTGAGTTAGAGGCCATCTGGTCTATAAAGCAAGTCCAGGACGGCCAAGGCGGCAGCAGCAGCTCAACAACAACAAAGGAAGAGGGAATGATCTAGCCTCTGGACTCAGAACTCATCATTCCCTTTGCCTACTCTCTTCTTCCAGGTTTCTATGCTCTGTCTACCTCCATCAGCCAGTAAAGCCATTCAGTCTGCTTTATTTTAAACTTCATTCTCTTCCTCTTGTTTCTTGCCCTCTAAGCCAAGATATAATTTAATTAGTGATTTATTTTTCTAATTGTCTCTCCTGGACCAGACTATGAACTGAGAAGACAAATATCTGTCGTCTCTTTTTAGAAAAGGTTTATTTATGGCTTTTATGTGCGTGTGTGTGCACTTGCGCGAGTTTACGTGTGTAATGCTCAAGCCTCTAGAGGTCAGGAGAGGACACTGGGTCCCCGGAGCAAGAGTTACAGGCAACTGTGAGATGCCATATTGGAAAACTGGATCCTCTGCAAGAGTACTAAGTGCTCTTAACCACGAAACCATCTTTGGTGTTTCTCGCGGTATTCCCAGCAGTAGGCATGAGATTTGTAAAATGAATACTATGCCTCGTACAACACCTGGCAGACGTTAGGTACAAAATAGGCACATAAAACCAGAACACTTTCTGTTAGTATAGTGCAGCTTAATTAGAGCTTTAGAATTTCCACTAATTGAAGCAGAACTCATCTTTTTATCTATGTCCTCTGTTTGGAATGACTTTCAGCCTGATGCTAGCTAGCTAGCTACGCATTTGTGCTTCTCATTAAGGAGAGCTTAATTTACTAACCCGTAAACATGATGGCTAGACCTTGAGCATTACTAGACACACAATGACCCCAGTGCATTCCATCCAGGGGATGTCTGTGGCTATCTCTGGATAATGTCACTTAGAGTTCAGATAAAATGTTCCCCTCAGAGGAGATAACTTGCCTCTTTTAAGAACCATTACCTACTTCATCTCCAACACACTCTCTGACCTCACCCTGCTTCTACACAACCTGGAAGTGCTGTATTGTGTTGTTTACTAGTTTTTTGTCTATCACTTTAAAGAGACGGACAGTTTCTAAACTGTCAATGGCGCTAAGGTGGAAAACTGACCAGTGACTGTTTTCAGACTTGCAGGTTAAGAAGACAGTAGCCAACCTTTGTGATATTGGTGCAGTATGGCCCTTGGCCTTTGCCAGGCCCTGTCCTAGATCTTTATGAAAGCATAGGTTTTCCATCATAGCTGACATCACTTTTGACGTTTCCTTCATAGCGTTGACTCTTCTCATGGCACCTTGTGAATGCCTAGTGTGCCTTACCTGCTCCTCATGCAGAACAACTTGACCCTTGAGTGGACTTCCCAGTGGTGCTACTGTCACAAATGGACGCCAGGCTCCACTGGCCATTCTCGGGAAGATATCAAAGAAGTCCATGGAGAAGCCATTTTTCCCAGTCATATTCATAAAGTACAACGAAACGGGATTGCATGCAGCTACATACAGCGTATGTTCACCATTTTCTGAAATGACAAAAATATATTCATTGTGCAGTTTGCGAATAGTTTTCTGGTTGGCTAAGGGTTCCAGCACAACTGAATCTTGAGCCTGAGCTCAGGACAGAAGCTCGGAACATGGTTTTTAGGTTTATCAGACTGAAAAGCTCTGCTTCTAGCCTAAATGTAGACAGAGTGACACTCATGTATGTAGCAAAGATGCACCTATGTGGGCTCCCAAAGAATTCCACAATGTCTCATGGCAACCCCATTAGATATTTGACAGTCTGTGAGGTCAGGAAAATTTTCACCGTACGGTAGCAAAGGGTTCTGTGAGCCAGTGTTTTCCTGTATCATGCCATTGTTCTTTCAGGACACTTTGTCAAGCTTTCCTCTTTTCAGTAGTTATTAGGTTATAGGATTTTCTTGCTATAAATAAGAAATTTGATTTTTTAAAAAAATTGGAGCTCTGTGCATCTCTCCTTCCCCAGATATGGTTATTAAGATTTAACTTAAGGCAATGAACATGCTAAGCAAGAATTCTACCACTGAGCTAAATCCTCATAGCCTAGCACTATGGATTTTAGCTTCCAAACTGATGTTCAGATCCTGAAAATTTCTTATGCAGTCTCTCTTATATCTAGGCACTTGCCTATATCTGGCTTCTAAAGTATATAGCAATGCTTCTATTTATTCCATTCACCTGCAGAGCTAATGAAAACACATACACTGAAACAGTGGAGCTCAAGTGGGCTGTCACATTCTGAGCTTTTAGCAAGTTCAAAAGGATGCCAAGGCTGCTAGTTTGAGCGCCCCCCCCCCTTGAGCTAACTGGGCCACAGTCCTTGGTACACTGTGAGGCAAGAGTACAAGCTGCTTTTGCCTGATGAGTGCTTTAAGCATTGCCTGTCTATCGGTTATTCATTTTACAGCAATCATATTTCTTTAACCTCAAATTGAGATAAAAAGGAAGACAGTGAGATATATCAAAGTTTGGGACAATCCAAGAAAATCTGGATCACATATATGTATGAGTCATTTCTAAAATATTTATACAAATATGCCTAAAATGTCAGATATATAATACATAGATATACACTATAAATAGTAGATAAAAAGATATCTTTAATTTAAATAAATAAGCTAATATCAATAAAGAACATAGACACCAGGCAGGGCATGGTGACACATGCCTTTAATCTCAGCACTTGCATTTGAGTTTGAGGCCAGCCTGGCCTACATAACAAATACCAGGCTAACCAGGACAAAATAGTAAGATCCTATCTAAAAGAAGAGAATAAAGAGAAAGAAAAGGAGGAGGAAGAAAAGGAGGAGGAAGAAAAGGAGGAGGAAGAAAAGGAGGAGGGAGAGAGATGAAGATGTATTATTATTAATTCTTTTGAGATAGGGTCTCAGGATATAACGCTGGCTGTCCTGGAACTCACTATGGAGACTAAGTTGGTTTTGAACTCACAGAGATCCACCTGCCTCAGTCTCATGAATGCTGGGATTAAAGATGTGTGCCACCATATCTGGCCTGTTGTTCAAGAGATGATATGAACTATGCTGTAGCAGCTCCAAATACCAGACAGAATAGTAGAATTTGTAACTGGTGGGCCTTTTAAATGTACCTATTATGAACAAAAAGAAGTCCAATTTAACATTTCATGAGCACTTTCCTGCAGATGAGAGGGCGGAAGGGATACAGGAGGAACACTGGCAAAAATACAAACAAAAGTATTATCAATTGTTCTCATATTACAGGTATTAAGTGCTGTCTGGTCACTGGCTCAAATACATAGATATATAATTAACTCTAACTCTCTTCCAAGAAAGTGGTTTTTGTTTCCCCCTCTGAAAAAAATAAAGAATAGGTTTTTAAAAAGAGAGCAATTAAAACAAAGGGGAAGTATATACCAAGTATGTCTTTCTGCTTCCGGGATACCTCACTCAGGATGATCTTTTCTAGTTCCCACCATTTGCCTGCAAATTTCATGATTTCCTTGTTTTTCATTGCTGCATAGTATTCAATTGTGTAAATGTACCATAACTTCTGTATTCATTCCTCAATTGAGGGACATATGGGTTGTTTCCAGATTCTGGCTATTATGAATAAAGCTGCTATGAACATGGTTGAGTAAATGTCCTTGTTGTGTACTTGAGCATCTTTTGGATATATGCCTAGGAGTGGTATAGCTGAATCTTCAGGTAGAATTATTCCTAATTGTCTGAGAAAGCACCAGATTGATTTCCAAAGTGTTTGTAGAAGTTTACATTCTCACAAGCAATGGAGGAAGGTTCCCCTTTCTCCACATCCTCTCCAGCAAGTGTTGTCACTTGAGTTTTTGATCTTAGCCATTCTGATAGGTGTAAGGTAAAATCTCAGGGTCGTTTTGATTTGCATTTCACTGATGATTAAGGATGTTGAGCATTTTTTTAAGTATTAGTCTGCTATTCTCTATTGAGAAATTTCTGTTTAGCTCTGTACCCTATTTTTAAAATTGGATTACTCGGTTTGTTGCTGTTTAACTTCTTGAGTTCTTTATATATTCTGGAGTATATACTCACTTATAAGTGGATATTAGACCTATAATATAGGAAAATCATACCAAAATCTGTACACCTAAAGAAGCTAAGCAAGAAGGAGGACCCTGAGTAAGATGCTCGATCCTCATTCAGAAAGGCAAATGGAATAGACATCAGAAGAGGGAGAAAACAGGAAACAAGACAGGAACCTACCACAGAAGGTCTCTGAAAGACTCTACCCGGCGGGGTATTAAACCAGATGCTGAGACTCATAGCCAAACTTCGGGCAGAGTGCAGGGAATCTTATGAAAGAAGAGGGAGATAGAAAGACTTGAAGGGAATAGGAGCTCCACAAGGAGAGCAACAGAAGCAAAATGTCTAGGCCCAGGGGTCTTTTCTGAGACTGATACTCCAACCAAGGACCATTCATGGAGATAAACTAGAATACCTGCATAGATGTAGCCTGTGGTAGTTCAGTGTACAAGTGGGTTTCCCTAATAAGGGGAACAGGGGCTGTCTCTGACATGAACTCAGTGGTTGGCTCTTTGATCACCTCCCTTTGGGAAGGGGGCAACCTTACTAGACCACAGAGGAAGACAATGCAGCCAGTCCTGATGAGACCTGATAGACTCAGGTCAGATGGAAGGGGAGGAGGACCTCCCCTATCAGTGGACTAGGGGAGGGGTATGGGAGGAGAAGAGGGAGGGAGGGCAGGATTGAGAGAGGATGAAGGAGGGGGCTACAGCTGGGATACAAAGTGAATAAATTGTAATAAAACAAAACAGTTGCAAATATGGTTTCACTCTGAGAGGAAAGGGTTACATTTTTTCAGGGAAAGCAAAAGAGCGTCTTTTCCAAGGCAAACTGTGACTGCCTGCTGGAGCAACCTTAAGCGCTGTGTGCAGAACAGAGGGGCCAAGAGCAAATTTGAGAAGTGTCACAGGTGATTTGCTGTCCTTCCCACGTGTGGCAGAGTGTCACCGTGCACTCACAAGCGCCGAAGTTCAAGCTTCATCTGTGGACCCTCAAATGCTCTCTTTCCTGGTGAACGCAGTGTGTCCTGATGAGAGCACCCATACTTTACCACGAACAAACAATCATATGATCTTTTACATTATTCAGAGTAGCTGACATAAGGAATAAATAACATCCACAGAATTTACAGGAACAGAAGCAAGACACTGAGTCATTCCCCTCAGTAATTTCCAGCTCAGTCAAATTAGTGGCTCTCCCTTGCTTTTCCCTAGCTGCTACTTCATATTGGTTTAGTAACTGACATCAATGGAGGAACTTCTGTCCAAAGCGGCCCAGGGTCGCTGTACAGAGGAGGCAATAATGGCACCCGGCCAGAAGAACAGAAGCTGACAACTACCATACTTTACCTGCATCCTTGACAATGAAAGGCCTAATGATGGCAAGTCTCTCTAAGCCTCCCTGCTGTGGCTGACGCAGTCACAAAACTGGAATCCCACCCTCCCTCCCCCAAATCCAACGTTTTTCCTTTTTTCTCTTTCCCTTCTATTTTTAGCACACGTCTGGGTGTGTTTAACTTTGTGCTATGACTGTAATGAGAAACAGACAAATGCATACCAACTCAGCAAAGCTTAGGGTTCACAATAGCATTTTGTGGGGTTGTTAGAGAAAATTAGTTCTAAATTATATATAATTGCTATCTGGATCCACCAAGTCACTGGCCAAGACTTTCACAGAGTTCATGATGGCTCAGGATTATTTTAATCCCCCTGTTTTAAAATCAGTACAGAAAGAGAAGATTAAAAAAATTGGACATACCATGTGATACAGCAACATCACAGATTAAATTAACTTCATCTATTGGAACCCTCCAAGAGGTATATTCTTCAGTAAAGTTTAGGAATCTTGCATCATGCTTTTCTATTGGGTACTCTTCTATGTTCACAAGCACTGGACCCTACAACAGAATAACAGTCTTAGTGATGATGTCTGGGTGGTAACCAAAACAGTTCTTCCAAAACATCAAAATGTGTTTGTTAATATTTAATATCTCAACATACTCTACTTTGTCACTTGGCATAGAACTTAAAACAATAATAATACTACATACTTACTGTCATGAGTGCGTTCATGTGTTGTAGCTCACTCTATTTGCCACTTCCTTTTGTTTTACTGAAGTATACCATGTATAATGCACTATAAGATTTCTCATGCCTATACCTCTTCCTAAACCAAGAACCCATTCTGACCTCCAAATAAAAAGACCCCAAGCTGTCTAAACCAGTAGAATAAGTTAATGAACCAGAGACTAATATATTTCCATTGTGAAGAAAGATTGTGAAATCATTATACTGAAAATATAATGGCTGAAGTTGGTCTTTTAAATGAAATGTTAAAGAAATATATATGTGCTTTTAAGACAAACCAAAAAAGCTCCTCAAATGACTGATAATCATTAGTGCTACTTATAAAAGGTAGAATATTGCACATGTGGCTCTCCAACATAAACATAAGCAAAGGAACTAACTTGATAAACCTGTGAGTATCTGTGCTGGGTAGCTCCCTGGAAGATCCTACAGGCACAGCGAAGCTTTCAATGATGCCTGTGCCCTTAACTAAGGGTATTTGGGCTAGATATTGGTGATCATGTCCCCTCCTATCTAGATCGTACCTAGGGAACAGAAGTCAAACAGTGTCCCTCTCAAAACCTTGAAAATCCACTTCTGGGATTTTCTGCGATCACCCACTTGGAGGGGTGCATTGGGAGGCAGAGGGGCGGCCGCTCTGACAAGGACCTCTGACAAATGCGAAGAGTCTATGCTCCTGGGAGGGACTGGCAGACTAGGACTTACTCCCTGATTCTCTAAATACTACTTTAGTGGAAGAAAACATCTTTTTGTTTATGTACTGCCATGACTGTTATTGTGTTACAATAACAATTTCATAGTCGCAACAGAATCTTTATTGACCACAAAATCTACTATATGTACTCTTTGGCCATTTACAGGTTAGGTCTGCTGATGTTGCTGTCTGTGCAGATGCCAGCAGATAGAAAAACATCTATTTTAAAACAGTGAGTTCAGTGTTGTCCCTGACTTCTGTTCCTAACTACCTAGAGGGCAGCTCTTTCTACCTCAAATGCTTAGAATGATTTTGATGGTAACTAATGAATAGAAACTCTTTCCCTTCCACAGGAAGGCAATGTCAACAATGTATGGTAAAAATAAAAATAAAAAAAAGCAAAACAGTTTAATCTCCTTAGTAAACCTAAGTAAAGACAAATACCACAAAGTAACTTTGCAAGGAAAATAAACAATATACCCGACTCACTGTTCTGAAACACAAGACCGGCTCTTAGAAGTTCTGTTTGGCGGGTAGCAACTGCACACATTGAATTCCTAGGAAGTCAGATTGAACTCTAAGTTGGCAAAGAAGCTAAAGGGCCAGCCAACCACGAAGTCATTTCTCAGACTGTATGGAACATTTCTACAGAAGATTTGAAAAGCCTGTAAGATTCAATGTTAAGAGGAAATAATAAGGATAACAACCTTTATGTCAATGTGATTCGTTTCAGCTGGACACAAGATCTTTTGCATTCCATTTCCCGCCTGACCAATTATCCAGTAGCCCATGAATGTCTGCTCTGGTAGAGGAAACCTGTGAAAGATGATTTTAAAGAGTAAGCATTTTTTCCTATCATCAAGTGTCTTAGAGTTACTACTGCTGAAAAACCATGACCAAAGCAACTTGGAGAGAAAAGGGTGTATTTGGCATATGCTTCCACATTACTGTCCATCATCAGATGAAATCAGGACAGGAACTCAAACAGGACAGGAACTTTGAGGCAGGAGCTGATGCAGAGGCTATGGAGGGGTGATGCTTTCTTACAGAACCCAGGACCTCCAGCCAAGGAATGGTACCATCCACAGCAGGCTGGGTCCTCCCCCACCAATCACGAATTTTAATGCCCTACTGGCTTGCCTACCGCCTCATCTTATGGAGGCATTTTCTCAACGGAGGTTCCCTCCTCTCAGGTGACTTTAGCTTGTGTCAAGTTGACATAAAACCAGCCAGCACACCAAGTCGCAGGGGACACGTTCACCATCTATCACCAGCAACACACACATGTATGAAGAATGCTTTATTTAGTAGTGAGTTCTGCTCCATTTTGTTTAGAATGCAGTCTATAACACCATGTTTAGAATGCACATTAGGATGAGAAAGACACTCAGAAAATGAGAGCCTACCTATTTCCCCTTTATGACAACCATAGTTAAGGCGAATGCATTTTCCACTGGAGTTGACAAATGTGTAGTATCCTTACATGCAGATTCCTGGTAGAGTACAGGAAGGCTTGAAAGAAATTGAAGCAATTCATTTTATTTTCATTTTTTGGTCTCTTCTTTTAAATTGTGAATCAAGTAGTAACCAGGGTACACTAGCGCTAGGCCCTTGTTGGAATGTTGTAGAGGAAAAGCCCCACAGACTGTAGTTTGGTGATAATATGTAGTAAATACACAGAAATAGACACATAAATGTGTTACCTAGTGCTGAAAATACCCATGTAATCAATAATCAAAAACCAGGATCCAGAAGTCCTTGGAGACTACATTTCACTGCTACCATGGAAACTACACCCTGACTTCTGATGGAAATACTTTGTATCTGCTTTATTTTATTTAAAGAAATATAACTTTTTGTTTGTTTTGAGACAGGATCTCACTATGTGGTCCAGCTTGGCCTTGAATTGACTCCCTCAGTCTTCCAAGTACTAATACTACAGGCATGTGACACCCTGCCCTGCTATAGCAACTTTTCATTTCCTTTTTGTGATAGGATCTTGAATAGCACTGACTGGCCTAGATTACACTATCTAGAACCAAGCTTGTTCCTAACTTGTGGTATTCCTTCTACCTCTGCCACCCGAGTACTGGACTTACAGGCATCAATACAACATCTGGCTTAGGCAATATTTAAGTAAAGTGATTCATACGCTAAAGCGAATATGACAGCAATAAAGAAGTGAATGTCAGGCGAACTTGAGAACAGAGCTTCCACTTCTTAATTACACACCTTTTTACCTGAACCTTTAAAAACAGGACCACTGATCTGTCCTTTTCATTTAACCATATTTCTTATTCATGATATGGTAAAACAAAACAAAACAAAACAAAACAAAACAAAACAAAACAAAACAAAAAGACTCAAAGTTCAAAGTTCTTTATGTGGCCATAAAGCAAACTATGTTTAGAATGAGAATGGCGAACATTAGCAGAGCACATATTGTACTGACAAGTTACTTAGTTTTCAGTATGATATGCATTTCCATAAGCTTAGTAAAACCATATAGCTTTGATTACTCTTTGCATAAAACAAGGAGCTAAGCACTCTGGCTGAGTATGCTTTTTTTCCCTTTGAAACATGAGAGGAAAAAAGGGACTTTACAGTGAGTGTTTTCTAAGGCATATGACACTATAATGCCTGGCTTAAAAGGACACATTGGAATAAGTTATCTAAAATACATGTTAAGGGACTGAGATGACTCAGATGTTAAAAGCACTTGCTGTTCTTACAAAGGACCTGAGTTACATTTCATCCACCTTGGCTCACAGTCACCTTGAACTTCAGCTCCAGGGGATCCAATGCCCTTTCTAACCTCCATGGCTACTCCCTCCCCATACACGTCAATGAAAATATGCAGCTAAATCTTAACAACATAATAAAATAGATTTTAAGTACCTAGACCATAAACCTTGATTGAGAGTAGAAGGTGGCAGGGGCCAAGTTGAATAGAAGACTGTTGTGCTCTTTTAAATAAAGTAATAAAATATATTTCTGCACTAATAGGGCAGACCTAGGGTGGAATCTTCTAGCTCTTCTAGTTTAGGGAACAAACTATATTCTTCAATTGTCCTCCGAAGTTCACCGGTCTCCAAATGCAGAAGGAAAAACATAAGGAGACACATTAATTTTTTTTCTTAGCACAGTATTGGTGAATGTAAAGCTATCTGGGTTTTGTTCCTGGTTCTCTTATTAACTACCTATGCAAAATTGAAAAAGGATCCCAGCTAATGTCTCAGTATTAATTGTTTTCATTTATAATGAAGGGATTGATCTATATGGTCTTTATGGCTTGGAAAGTCTGTGACAATCATGGAAGCCAGAAGCCAGAACTGTCAGTGTAGTTTAAAGGGCTTGCATTAGCTTAGTGCTCTCGAGTGAAAGTGATCCCTCAGAATGAAAATGTCTGTACCCATCAATCAGATGGGTCCCTTGGTCAATAGGCTTGCTTTCTCGAAAAATAAAGAGTCTCTAAATAGTCCCACTTGTCTGAGGACAGTGTTTCACATCTTGATCTAGTTATAGCTGGAGAACTACTTAATAAAAATAACCACTGGTATCCCAGCATAAGAAATGCACACCGGGCTGGGGCTACATCTAAATTGCAAAAGTTTGCCTAACATGAGCAAGGCTCTTGGCTTGATATCCAGCACTTGAAAAAAAAAAAACAAACCACTAATGTATTCATTAATAATTTAAAAAATGATACTCAGATGCCAAGAAAGAAAAAAAAATGAATTCATTTGAGAAAAAGTAACCTTTCTCAGATTCCAGTTCCTACAGACAATTCCAAAGATGTTCATAAGTCTGCTTAGAAGTTGCCAACTCATTCTAAATAATAGTCATGGAGCTCATAGCCTACCCAGCTATCTGAAAAAAGAGCCCTGTCTGCTTGGCTGGCAGAGTATGGGATGGCCCCTTAGATAACCCACAAAGGCTGCATCCAGAAACACGTAACCATGGTAATCATCTAATGGCAATGTCAACCACAGCTGAAGGACGCATTGGCAGATGTCCTGGGGTTGCACATGCCCACACCATCCTGTTCCCTGGTTGTTCCTGGACCCTGACAATAGCTGGGAAACCATAGCCCCTCATTTATTTCCCATGAAGGCTCCCAGAAGCTGTGTGTATGTGGCTAAGACCATACTAACTTTCTTCCCTTCGGTAAGTTAGCAGTCAGAGGATGGGGGAGCACTGTGCTTGGGATTTATGAGCAAGCTTTGGAATAATTGACAAAATGGTGGCTGTAGGGGTGGGGGTCAGGGGTGTTACCCTGATAAGTAGTTAGCAAAATGGTCTTCTTTTCTGTTACTGAAATGCAGCATCCAATTCCAACCAGACTTAAGTTTTTACGTTTGATTTGATTGACACAATAATGACATTTTCCATGATTTGAAGATTATGTCACTGTGATGTTGAACTGTGTTAAAGTCCTGGCTGAAATGATGTCTGGGTTTGATTTTAAGTGGGAGGAGCATGAACTCAAGGCCTATAAATAGAACCACTTTTTATTTTCAGTGTCATTCATGAATTTATGTGTTTTAAAACAATGCTGTATTTTAGTACTTGTGTTGTGATATTTCCTAATCCTTTGTGGAAGCGGTAACAAAGATCAGAGACAAAGAGTTTTGAGTAAGAGAAAGGTGCATATCAAAATTATGACTTGGGTCAAATTATAGTCCTTTGAGCATGTTAGAGAAAGGAAAAGGATTTGCTGTTTTTAAACACACAGACAATCCGTAACACGATACATATGGACACCAGTTAGGTAACAGTGTCTGAAGGAGATGGGAGTGTGCTGTCTCAGAAAAACTTCCAAAAGGAGAGGGGCTGCGTTTTAAAAGCACATGCTTTGGCAAATGTCTGCTTTCTCTGAACCGCTGCCAACACTATTTCTGGAGTCTGAAAGAAAACACATGAAAAAGATTTGGATCTTTCTAAGGCCATTATGCAATTGGGAGTTGTTGACAGACCTATTAACAACAACTCCGAAGACATTTCCTTACCACAAGAACTACCAAGGTTTATGGGAATAATGGACCCCTTCAGGGTAGTTCCCCCAGCTCAGAAACTCAACAATTACTACCATCTTTGAGGAGAAAGAGAGCGACTCCAGTGATAGTGGCCTCACTCATCCTACCATCTGAAAATCTCAGAGGACTGCACTGCACGCTTTCACAGACCATTCCTGACAAACGCTTCCCACTTGGCTCTCATCCCTTCCTCTTGCTCTAGGCCAACCTGTAACTCGGCCTTACCTTCAACTACTTTTTGCTATTCCCTCAACATGTGCATTTTAACGCTTTCTCGAGGCCATCTCCTCCCTCTAGAATTCCATTCTGCAGATGCCTCTTCAGTGAGCTGTGTCCCTTCCTCCTTTGAGATGGGGTCTCAGGGAGCTAGTTTTGAACTCACTGTGGAGCAGAGGCTGACCCTGGGTCCTAATCTTACTGCCTCTACTTCCCAAGTATTGGGGTTGCAGCATGTATCTCCAACACTCAACTTGGAGGGTCTTCTTACGCCGCAACCCAAACAGCATTGTCCGTCCTCATAGTTCATTCCAGAGCGGGGGTGGGGGTGGGGGGAGGAGACCAACCTTTTGCCCTTCTGGGTTTCTATACAAATTCATAATATGAAACTCTGAAGAACTTTATAGAGTCTCTAACTTTCTAATTTAAGGGAGTAGAGAGAATACAGTTTTAGAGAGAATAGATTAGAAATATATCTAGGAGATCTTTCATATTTTTTCACTTAATAAAATAAAAAAAGTCAACAAGGCGGAGTACGGTAGCCTATGCCTACAATCTCAGCAC